TGAATCATAACTTGTTTAATCGATATCTAATCGCCCCTTAACAAGTCTTTGGATGAGACGATTGTTTATTTATTACTTAAACTATCATGAAATGAAATAGAGTTAAGTTAATTGATTTAATTACTTCATTAGTTTTGAAACAAAAATATAAAAGGAGCCGGTACTATGAGGACAATGGGTAATCTCAAATCTTGCCTAATCTTCAATTCTAGCATGAACTTGTATTTTCTCCTACATCTCAGGAACAGAAAAAGTCAAACATGTGAAACCTACTCCAAGCTTATTATTCAGTCAGCGTACAAATATTTACTTATTGATACTTTTTGTCCTAATTAGGCGTCAATATTATCATAATCCTAATTATATTAAAGAGTGTATATAAAAAACACTCGCCTGTTGAGCTTATCTCATGTGGTATACAACATGATTAAGATAGTAGAGAGTGTGACTGATACGAAACAATTATTTACTATAATAATTTGTGTATTTTTGTAGACATAATCATGTAGGTATCAATATTGTTTGGCTAACCTAACAATACATACATTTTTTGTTTCTTCCTTTAAAAATAAGGGTCATTGGNTTCTCAATCAACTATATATCTCTATCAATCAATGTTAATTAATGTTATATTATTTTCATATTACAAAGTTAATCAGTTTGTCTCATATTTATTTGTAATCTCAAATGTATCTTTTAAAAGAAAACCAAATTTTCACATTTTTTTTGGCGATTCCCTTCTTTTTTTTTTTTCTTCTGAAAACTCTTATATATAATCGTACCTAAGTTTCAAATTATTTCATTGAGTACTTTGAAAACCTTAACCAAAAAACGTCATATTTTAACTGCTAAGATTGAACAAAAGATAGCAGGTCAGATTTGATTATGTCCTGACCAAATGGGTTGCATCTGCAATACTTGTGATATATCTTATATCATACAAAAATATATTATGTCATTGTTTTCAAATATTTGTCATAAAATTAGTTGACCCTGTCAATTGTCACAATAGATTATCTGACTGCATTTGTATGCCATCCCTATTTCATTTTCTCCAAAGGTAAAAATAAAAATAAATAATATCATTTAATTCGTTCTTCTTTTTTCCTTTTTTGTATTTTTTTTTTTTCAATTGCAAACGTGGATGACTGTATGACTGACAAATTGGGTTGTTTAGATATAGAACAATAAAAGGAAAGATCCTATAAATCTTAAACTTATGTCATTCTACATATCTTAAGTATTTAGTCAGCCATGACTAATATTGAACAAGCAATTGATCCAAAAAATCTTCTTTTGTCAGCTGATCTGACCATTTGTTTGTATTAAAATTCAAATAAAAAAAAAAACTGCCAAAACTAAGAAAATAAAAATAAAAATTTGATTATGAAATCAGTAATCAAGATATGGTATTATGTTGTTGTAGATTTCTTATGAGGTTGCTTGGATACAAACTTATTTGCGTTTTGATTTGATTTTTTGATTAACTTGAATTAATTTTGAAAAATTTGGTTGAATTAGGCTTGAATGAAATTTTGGATTTGTATTAAGCATCTCTTCATGAATCGGCTTACAACTTTTTAAATCTTCTGATGCAATTTTGTCAAGATACAAAAGAAGAAAATAAAAATCAAAGTAAAAAAAATAAATAAATGATAAGGTGGTCCCTAGAAAGATTTCCAATTCCCATAAAATCATTTTGATTATGATAAAATCCAGTTTGATTACAAGAAACATAAACAATTATTCCTTCTTTTGATCCAACTTGGCAATTTGATGCTTACCTAAAATGCATTATCCTTTCTTGACATGATCAGGACAAAATTATCACGAATCACTACACTTAAAACAGAATCATGAAAGAAATCACAGCAAAATATTGTGACCATCCTCATTATACCGCTGGAGGGCAATTTTGATGAGAAAAATATGAAATGTTTTTCTCCTATTCGTGATTAAGAAAACAATGACATAATTGCAGAAGTGTGAACATGGTTTATGTCTTAATGTTTGTTTCTTCATCAAATTCTAAGACCGGGTTGAACCGCCTCACCTCCAGCCTCAAAGCATGAATTAGATACCGGCAAAACGACATTGGGTCTTCTTTGCGTATACACTTTTTATACTCAAGTCAGATGCTAAATCACGAATACTATTTTGAAATCAAAAGATATTGTGTTAAGTTGATGTACGGAAGCGTACGAGTGGGACGATATTAATGAGATCGCAATCTCAAGAACAACACGATATCAAATCATATTTTCATTCACTAATTCATAATCAACTGAATAACACAAACTAGTGTGGTACCCGTGCGATGCACGGGCTAATAATATTAAGGAAAATATATTGGTTTGGATGATGGAATCATTATTCAAAACATAAAACACATTTATTAGAATAAAAGAAAATGTTATTTATATATTATTAATCATCTCCTTGTACACAACATTTTTTGTTTGAGTTTTGGTATATCGTTATGGCCACAAATTAAAATCTTTTAATCTTCTAACTCTAACGATTCGTAACGTGTTCAACAACTAAATATAATTGACCGTACTGAACATTGATTTCTTCAAGAACATGCCAACATGCGATATTTTTTTTCTTTTATTTATTTATTTTGGTTACTCATTTATGTATGTTCTCTGTTGTTGTCGCGGGGCGGCATTCCTGGACCCGTGGCGGGTCACGGGCCAGGTCGGGGCGCGGGCCTATGGTCGCAGGGCAGGTCCGGGTACTGAACTACCCGGCCCGACCTGCCCCATTGCCATCCCTAATCTAACCCAACTCAGTTAATCAACGAGAGATATGCCTGATCGCGTTGTAAAATATTATTTTCTTAATCCTTAAAGAGATTTGCCTCAACACTTCCCCTGCTCAGCTCGAGCGATTTGAAATATGTTAACAAGCAACCAACCCAACCCGCGCTTTTCAAAAGTTGATTTTACACTCATCCGATCTAAAATATTCTAATCAAACATGGATTTGAAAAAGTTAATGCAGTCTTAATAATTTTTCGTAAATTAACACTCTTACAGGTTAGAGAAATGACAACTACACAAATAACCATCAAATACAGACCTTTTTCCCTATCCAAGAAAGTCTAAAATATTAAATATGTATATAAATGAGAAATGACAAATCACTCAATTGTAACAATGGAAATACTATGGAGCCAACGGTTGACTCCATAGCAGGAGTGATTGTAACAAATCTCTATTATTTGTTCTCTGTCTGTCTCACAAGAATTTTCAATTTAACATAGAATGGTGGGAGTAAAACTTATATCGTTCCACTCATACCGAATCTTGATTTTCTATATATATTAATTTAATTAATAATTGTTGTTTCTGTTTCTCCCGTTAAGTCATATATAGGCGGGATAAATCACTCCTACTCATAGCAAAGCCTTTATCTTTCACCCATCAAAATTTCTTGAAATTAATACAATGAAAAGAACTATGAAAAGCTTATCATTAGGAAATTTTCTGAAAGTTTATTTTTTCTTTACTCTCATCATAATCTCTAGATAAGAAGAAATTAAAGGAACTAAGACTAAATCACTCCCCCTCATAGCAAATCTTGATGTTATGGTGAAGACCTTGAATTTTTATAGAGAACACGACATTAACACTTGGCATCAAGAGCCATTAACTAATTTTCACAATCTTGGGTTTGACAACTTGTAGAAAAATGGCATAAATCAAATATCCACCTTTACTGCTTTATATATTTTGACAACGATATTTATTATGTTCGATCGGACTAACCATTAGATCTGACCAGATTAATACTTTTCTACAAATATATTTATTTTTATTAAAAAAATGTTATACATTAAAATTAGTATAAATAAAATAATAATATTTTATTGTATAAATATGTATTGTTATTCATATATAATAATTAGGTTGCCCCGTAAAATTCATGTTTTGAAAATCTTCAACCTAGCTAATTGCACAAACGAACTAGCTTTGAATCATGCAAATTTTATTGGTCATATTATAGTTGTGAGAATCCACCACAACAATTGATCTTTAACATGGATTGTTGAGTCACCGGTTGATACCAATTTTTGTATAGTTTGTTGTAACCATTATACGGGTGGTTTCGTAATTTTTTTTGAATAAGTATATATAATTAGACTATCATATATCATAAACTTATTTATGTAGTTTTCATTTTTTAAATAAATATATATACAATTATAAAATAAAATGTAATAAATTTATGGTCGAATTTCTTTTACGTCTCAATATATACATGAATTTTCTTTTACAACACTGTCCCATGAAAAAACTTTTTTTTTCACCCCATTCACGAAGTTCTATGTGGTATAACAATCGCACATTCAAGTGAACTGCATAATTAACAATTATGCGACATTTTGTCGTATATATACCAACGCATATTTAAATCGGACGTATAGTTAATAATTATGCGAAAAAACATTTGTATATTTGTTAACCGTATATCCAAATCCAACGCATATTTCTTCATATGCGAAATTATTTCGCATATATAGTAATCGTATATCTAAAATGATAGCCACATATTTATCATTACGCGACATTATTTCGCATATTTTTTGACTCGCAAACCCAAATACATCGTATAGTTAACAAGTACGCTAAACACTTACGCATATGATTTAATCGCATATCCAAATACACCGCAAAATTTACCATATGCGATAAAGTTTCACGCATTAATTTATCGCATATCCAAATCGAATGTCGCATATTTTAGGATTATGCGAAATATTTTCGCATAGTATTCAACTCGCATATCCAATCTTTAACACCGTATGATTAACGATTATGCGTACAAATGTTCGGATATTCTAGAATCGCATAATTTATGACTATCCAAATCAAAATTATGCAAAAATAATTTTTCATATATAGTTATCGCTATTCAAATTGATTGCCACATATTTTAAGAATATGTGAAATGTTTTGGCAAAGTATTCAACCCGACCCAATTCAGATAGCTCTTCAGATCTTTGTGGCCCACCTTCCCCATCCCCATATATCCTTGTCCATGACCCAAAAAGCCTCCTCAATAATACCCATCTTGTCCATGACCCAAAAAGCGTCCTCAATAATACCCACGTAGAATCTTCCATTACCATTCCTTCTGTTCAATTCCCTCTGGAATTCATCGTACTCGATGTACCCGTTCCTGTACGAGTCGGCGATTGAGATCATCGACCCATTTGCTTCATCGTCCGGCCTGCCGATGCCCAAGAACCCGTCGTAGAATGACCGGAGTTCGTCAGAGTTGATTTGAATGAAGGAGAAGGATGATGACTCATGTGGTTTGGTTGCTAAACGTGTGTGTTTGGATTGAAATATTTTTCGGATCAAAGTACCCCCACCAACCTAATTTCAGCATTTTACCATATTTAAAAAATGTTTTGACTTTGTAAGACTATATATATTTAAATATGGCCATAGACGGATCCACATGGGGTCCAGGGGGGCCATGGACCCCCCTCATTTTTTTTTAATATCATTATATATATATATATATATATATATACATATAAAAAAGAAAACACTATAAAATATGGACAAAAATGCAAAAAAAATATTTATAATATATAAAATTAAAACTTAGTTTCTATGATATTTTAATTTAAATTAATATAACTAATTAAAACATAGTTTTTATGCTATTTATTGAAAATATACTAACGATCCTTATATTTTATATTATTAGATAAATTTTTAAACATATTTATAATGATTTACTCTTTTGGCCTCTTAATTGTAAATCGATTTAGTGATTTATAAAACCGAGTATTTAGTTGGATTGTTATATTTTTGAATGATTATTGTTTAAATTAAATTATAGATGTTGAAATTAAATTATAAATACATGAAATCTCTTATTTTTTGTTTATTTTTGTAAAATTTTGATGGTGATATCGATTCTAAATTTTTTAAAATTGATGTTACATATATCGATATTTATGTTTATAAGTAAACAAATTTTTATATTGAATGAGCGTTTTGACTTAAACTACAAGCTCGTTATTTTGTATATAAAATTGGACCCCCCTTAATAAAAATCCTAGATCCGTCACTGAATATGACAATTGTAGTTAACAAAAAAGTAACAGTGTTGTGTAAAAATATATCAAAAAAATCAGAAGTGGACGCGGTCCGGAATAGTCCGGGATTTGACTTATCCGATAATGTGGTTGTCTTGAAATTGTAAAAATATACCAACAATTATAATTTTCTCAATGATTTTAAACAAATTAAAGAGGCCGGAAGCCCGATAGTGTGGTTTGCTTGAGCTATATTTTACATGGGCCTTGCCCAACTTCAACTATAAAATTTAATGGGACTTGCCCAACTACTAAACCCAGTTTCAGCGCTATTCATATATATTCCCATTATTATATTTTCGTGTTTTTCTCTATTTTTGATTTCTTTCCCAAGATCGTCTTCGTCCCATATATTCTCAACAATTGTTGCATAATAGTATATGTTATTGATGATTTTATTGCCCCGAGAATAATACAACTTGGCCTTTTAACAACGTAGATGAATTTATTTATACTTTCTTTCACTTTATTTTTCTATCATTTATTTTAAAGCTTCTTAGGTAATTTTAAGATCGGTCGCGTTATCATTATTTATTATTCTTATTCCTGCAATAATTTGTTAAACTTTTTTTAGACAAAAAAAATGAAAATTCCCATTATTGGCATAAATTGTGGGGAGGGGCCAAAGGGTTTAAAACTTTAAATTATACTTTGGAATAACTCGACAAATACATTTATCAAAACTATGGGTATAATGGGCCTCATTTAGAAACACAATAACGTGAGGAAACACGTACGGTAAAATATATTCATTAATATTTATATGTAAAAAATATTTATAAATTTAAGATGCAAAATCAATATTCAATACAATTCTTAACTCTTATATATATCTTATATATATATAGATAGATTTTATATATTTCCAAACATTAGGCGAAATTATTAGTTGTTTCACTTTCACACTTTCACTCAATGCTCATACTAATATTCTAGTAACGGATTTTTTCGCATATGTCCAAAGAAAGACCCTCTCACTCGGAAATTGACAGAATAAATAGCAGCGCCACGCAGAAGCATTTAAATAATAGTAATAATGATGGACACGTGTAAGGATCTTAAGGGCTGAAAGGGGAAGTTCGAGGAGTGATGGTGGCCGTCTGATAGAGGGGGGCCTCGCGCTTCACAGAAATTAATGCAGTGAACAAGACACTAAACAGAGTGACACATTCACGTGCGCCACCATCAATTCGAATTTTGTAAGATTTTTATTTTTTTTTTCTCCAAATTTAAAATAAAATATAAAAGAAAACTGTTACGTTGCAGAATGTCTCTGGCTCTGCACTTACCTGCTCTGCTACACGCCCAGCCGCACGTGTCGTTTGTCGTCTGTCACAAATTAATTCCTTTTTTTTCTATAAAAATATTTTTAAAATTTTCGAAATTCTGTTTTATTTAAAAATTGAATGTGTAGTGTCAAATTAGAAAATAAATTAACATCTGTTGAGCTCGAAGGATCAAGTCGAACTTGACTTATTAAGGCTCGTAAAGCTTAGAAGTAGACATTTTTATATAAATCTATATATATAATCCGGTTCGTCAAATTTTAAAATAGAATTTTGTATGTAAAATCGGCATGTTATAACTTGAGTTTGGCTAGTTAAAGCTCGAGCCGACTAGTTAATATTGATAAATGAATCAAACTTGAGCTCGTTTANTAGCAAACCAAGCTTGATCCACGATAAAGATTCAAACCTAAGCTCGAGTATTAGGAGCTTGAGTCCTACTCAATTTTTTACATCTCTCCATAAGATCTAACGACCCCATTTTATTTATATTATTTTGTTCGAAGTTGTGATTAGCTAACTAATAGATTATGTATTAATTTTGAGTTTACAGTCTATGACTGAAAAACTAATTGATACAAAAAAAATGTTTGGTAAGATAAGTTGATAAATCAATTAAAATAAAAAATTCAACAAGATATTTTTATAAGATACACAAGTAAGCTTATGATATAAGGTCCAACTAAAAAAAACTCATTTTATCAAACCAAATTTATGTGAAAAATCATAATTAAGCTAAGTAAATAAGTTATAAGTTAGTTTACAATTTTTACCAAATATAGCTTATTTATAATTTATTAGTTTACTATGCTTACCAATTATAGTTTACTTAGTATTTATTTTAAATAATTAAATACCAAATAATTAAGAGAAATGTTATATTACCAACCTAGTGTACAACTAGGTTGACAACACAAGTGAAAATTTCTAAAAAATAAAAGTAAAAAACACAAGAGTGAATGTTTTCACTTGTCGGCCAAAATAATTAACACCTGGAATTATCATTTAAAATTTTAATATTGTTGTTACTTTGTCCATGGTAAAAGGTACCGCTACTACGATGCTATCGAGTACAGCTGTTGAGGGGCTTGACCAAAGAAGTCGGGCATTCGTATGGGGTGGGACTCATGAGCGGAGGAAAATACATTTGGTAGCCTGGACAAATATATGTAAACCAAAAGATGATGGGGGTCTGGGCGTTAAGGATCTCCGCCGTATGAATAGTGCTTTGCTAATGAAACTAGGTTGAAGATTATTGACTAAACCAGATGCCTTGTGGGTACGCGTTTTGACGGCGAAATATGCTTTGAACTTTTCGGAGAATTTGGACTCCTTTTCTTTTCGACGGGGCTCGGCTCTATTACGGGCCATCCGCACGGTTTGGCCCCAAGTCGTTAGTGAGGTATGGTAGGTCTTGGGTAACTGGACATGGATACGCTTCTGGCTCGACCCATGGCTAGGTACGGATGGCCCGTTGATTTGGCATGTGCATCAACAGGCCCAGATCGAGAACCTTTTCTCCACTGTAGTCGATCACGTGGATTCTCGAGGGAACTGGACGTGGCAGAGCTTCCATGGCATATTACCATCATCGGTGATACTCCGAATAGCGGGCACTCTCCCCCCAAAAGCGACAGCCGGGGATGACCGCATTATTTGGGGATTCTCGGAGGATGGCCAATTCTCCACGAAATCGGCTTACCGGGCACTGTCAACACTAGAGCGACACCATGACCGCCCATTATGGAAGCTAATATGGCGGTCTCCAGCACCGCAACGGGCCCGCACTTTCTTGTGGATTGTTGCACACGAGCGCTTCCTAACCAATTGTGAGCGAGTACGGAGACATATCTCGGGTTCCATGGCGTGTGATTTCTGTGGCGATAATGAGTCGATCCTGCACGTCTTGCGGGACTATCCTGCTGCGAAGGAAGTCTGGAAATTTCTGTTACAGGCGGAACCAGATGATGAGTTTTTTCTCCAGCCATTGAAAACTTGGTTACGCACGAACCTCCTAATGCACCGGCTGGGACCAACCGACAAGTGGAACAGTATTTTCTCGATTGCAGCTTGGCGATTATGGACGTGGCGTAATGAGCGATTTAAAAATAAAGCTCTAAGTTGTGAGGCCCGAGGATTGGAGGTGTTACGCATAACGGACACCTATGTCCGAGCTGAGGTGGCATACAGAAGAGTTGGGACTGCCAACTATGTTACTCGTATGGTTTGATGGCCCCCCCTGGACCGGGATGGTTTAAACTGAATACTGATGGTGCATTTGATAACCGGACGGGGTTGAGTAGTGCGGGAGGCTTGATTCGGGATGAAACGGGACGGTGGACCGAGGGTTTTCTTTTGAATATTGGTTCATGCACCATTACGGGAGCCGAGCTATGGGGTCTCTTTCAGGGGCTTCTATTGGCATGGGATTCGATCGGGACATCGACAAGTCATTGCCGAAATTGATAGTCAATGTGTTACGAGGATGGTCACGAATGTGGATGACTCATTTGGAGCTCATGAGGCTATGGTTAAGGCCATCCGAGAGCTAATTCAGAGGGACTGAACCGCGCAAATCCAGCATGTACACAGAGAAGCTAACTTCGCGGCTGATCATATGGCAAACGTGGCGACTTCATATCCGATTGGTTTGCATCGAGTTTCTTTACCGCCTATCGGATTAGACGCATGACTTGAGCATGATAGTATTGGGGTGTCATACCCCCGACAAGTTTTAGCCTAGGCATTTAGCCTCCTTCTTTGTATNCCTTCTTTTGGTTATGAGGTTTGATTTGGAGGATTGAATCAGTCAAAATAAGTCCCGACTTCGTAGAAATATCATCTTACCAAAAAAGACACATGTTTAACGATGAGTTGAGCTATATTACCAAAATAATTTACATATTGAATTATATGTATGTCAAACATCAATTACTTTATTATTATAATATTAATAAAATCAACCATTTAGATTTTACCAACACATATATTGGGTAAGTTGGTTGGTAAAACAATCTTTACAAAATAAATTAACTCTTTATTAATACCGTTGTTACCGTTCCAAAATCATTGCAACAATGGGTCATCTTCTTTGGACGCATTCCGCTGGACAAACTTATTGTTCGACCTCTCACGCGTATTGTCTTTTAAAAAAACTAGTAGTTACAAATAAAAACAGATTATATGTATGAATATTATATTAATAATCATAAAATATATAATAACATATTAACTTTTATAAATTTGTCATTAGTAGATACAAAATATATAATTATGTTATTTTAATAATTTATGAATGAATCTATAAATGACACAGAATGTGATGAATAATATAATTTTAAAAATTTAAAATATCTTGATCAATTAATTAGTTGAAAAAAAAATATTATTATTATTATTATTATTATTATTATTATTATTATTATTATTATTATTATTATTTTATATAATTTTAAGGGCTCTAATTTGCTGTGCCATTAAAACAAAATAGCTATTAAAAAACAACTTTATGAAATAAAATAAAATGAAATACTATTTTTAAAATAAATAACTTGAAGAAAAAGTTGTACTATAATTTTTTTATGAGTGTATAACTTTTGTATTTTTTCTGTGTAAATTTATAATTAGTTAATATTAGTAGTAATTATTATATAATAAAAAATATTGTTATACTTCATTAATGTATAAGGTCGATTTCTATAAATCTATACTTATATTAAAAGGGGTACTATTTACTAAATTAAGTAGTCAGAAAAGTCTACTGCATTTATTGCATTACTATTTCCGTATTATGTTATATAAAAGGATATTCTATTTACTACATTAATTATCCAGAAAAGTCAACTGCATTAAATGTCATTACTATTTTGGTATTATAATATTTTATTTATTTATTTGTTTTATTTTAAAAAGGTAAGTATAATAAAAAGATTTTAATAATAAAAAAATTAAATACCAAATAAAAATGTGCACTTTGACTTATTTGATTATATTTGGTATTTGATTATACCAAATATATTCCTATTTATTATATACATTAAATACTTACTAAAGTATTTATTTGTTTTATTTGTCAAAGTTAAGTATAGATTTGTTTATATTATCAAATCATAAAAAATATTAAATCCATATTGTAAAAAAAAAATTCATATAATTTTATAACAATTCTACTACACTATTTAACAATATTCTTTTTTTATTATATAATAAAATAATAATTAAATATTATATGGTGAACAACAATAAGTAAAACTGTTACTTTCTCTTATATCAAGGGACAAATTTATATGCTAAAATTAAATTTTTATTAGTGTAAATGTTTTAGTGAGATAATATATTAATTATTTTACAAGCTAGCCCTAACATGCTCATATTTAATGTTTTAAAAGATGTAGAAAAAAACTTATAATAACTCTATTATTTTTTAGACTTAAACGTTGATTAAAAGAGGTAAAAATTCCTAATTTTTTAGACTTAAACGTTGATTAACACCATAGATTGAGAGTTTATATTTAGTAAAATTCCTAATTGTAATAAAAAAATTAATTTTTGCTATATTTTATAATATCTTTAAATTCATTATAAAAAAAAGAGAAAAAAAAAACTACAATGAAAAAAACAAGTCAGCTATATATCGATTTGTTTTACTCCTCGAATCACATTCACAATTTGGCTACAAGTAAATGAAACTCATTGATTAAAATATTATTTTGTCAGTAGTCTTAATGTACAAGAGACTTTAAGACTCCACTTGAATATTACAAAATTTTTATTGAACATCGTACAATTTCTTGCGTATTATAAACTTTTATTGAATATTGCATCTTATTATATAATATTCTCCAAATAAATATATCTCGCGGGTCACGTACTATATATATTCCGTATATTTTCCTTTATTCATGTATATAATTATAAGTCTGGATAAATAACCTTAAAATTGTGCACCCCGTGCATCGCACGGGCTCTGTACTAGTAAATAGAAAAAAGTGAGAAAATATCTATATATATATATATATGTATGTATGTATATATAATTGCTAGCAAAACAATTAATAAAAATATTTTAATTTCCTTCCAAAAGATGTTACAACTTATATTATTATTTTTTATTGATTTATCTATCTATATAGAGAGAAAGAGGGACAAAAAATAATGACATTTTTCCGCTATTTTTTTCATTTAGTTATGAGAATTGGCCGTTATTTTTGTATTAATTAGCTGCAATAATATTTTTCTAACATATTTATCACATAATATTTACTAATAATATTAACCAATTATAAATTCACACTAAAATTTTATGCAAATTATACACTTACAAAAAAAAAATTATAGCATTTTTTTCTTCATTTTTTTTTAAAATTTTAAAATTAATATCATCATTTTATTTTATCTCATTAAGCAGCTTTTTTAATTGTTGAATGATTTAATGGAATAACAAACTATTTAAATCTGCGTAAATAATTTCAATATAATAATAGTAATCTAATTTTTTTAATCAACTAATTGGCTTGGATCCACTAAATCTGTAAGTAGATTATTCATTATATATTATGCTATATAATATTTTATTTTATATGTCCATATGCACAGACTTGATTACTAGTATATAGTATCAACAAAAATATATTTCCTATAATCATACATTTTTGTATAAAAAATACAATTTGTTGATAAACAAATTGGATATAAAAACATTAACATGAAAATGCAGCACCAAATATAAATATCTTAGATAGTACTAGATCTGGAAGATAATTGCAAAACAGCCAAGCACAAGTTTATAAATAACAAACTAAAGGAATCCAAAGACCAAATAAATGTTTTCCAAAAATAAGAAAATAAAAAAATTACAAAAGACAAACCAAAACAAGTACCAGATTCTGCCAAACCGGGTCAAATAAAAACCCACCAACCCGCTCCATTTCCCCCACCCCTTTATTTATTATCTTCTACAGTTCTACTTAGTACTCACACTGTCACACAGTTTCTAATAGCCATTTAAGGAGGGTTTTTCACAGCTCCCCTTTCTCTCTCTACCCTTATCACCTCACACCATCATCTATCTATCCTCTTACTCTTCCTCATTTCNATATTTCACAAACTTGTTCTTCAAGAATTAAAATGCATTCGGGTTACGAAATACCCGGGATCCAACAGCACCCACAGTCAGCCACCGACAACAGCAACCCGGTTTTGCACCCGACCCATTTTCCCGACCAAATCCACGGCCACCGCCTCTTCCTCGACCCGCCCCACTTCCTCCCGCCGCAGACCCACCACTACAATTCGTCCTATTTCCCGGCCCTGAACTTCAAGCTCGGCCTCAACGAGGTTTGCTCGACAAACAATATTAATGAATATAATAGTGAGAAAGAGTGTAGCATTATTAATGAAGAGGCTGCCGGTGACTGTAGCCTGCTCCATGAGAGTGAGCGCTTTGAGGAAGAGGCTTGTTGGCAAAATCAACAAGATTCGACTAGTATTAAACAACCACCCACTTCCTTCTGGTATTAAATTTCTCTAAATCATATCATAAATCATTTATTTAATTATGTCCTCATACATACTACCCGCACTGAAAAAGTGGGTGAATCTAAATCTGTGAGAGTCAGTTACATTGTACTAAACTACTAATGCACCTTTTGTCATAGTAATTAAATTAATATATTTCATTCAGAAAAAAAAAAA